CTATCCTGCCATAGACGGCCACATTCCTTCATCTAGTGCAGAGATCCATGATCTCCACCCTGGACCAGGAAGGCACCCACCTTCTCTGGGCCCTGTCAGGCTCCTGGGAGCTGGCAGACTGCTCCTGGGGAGTGGTGACTGCCAGGCTGCCAGTGGTCATTTTTGGGGGTCACTGGGTCAGGGGCCCCGGTGGCCACTGCTGGCTCTGGGCTGGCAGACTTGGAGCTGGAACAGGCACTGTAGCCAGGGTCTACCCCTTTAATGGCTCCGGGGCTGGGGAAGAGGAGAGGAGTTTTCCTGGATGTGCCCAGAGTGGCCACCAGGGCTCCTTGGGAAGGGCTGGAGGCCCCCTATTTCGAATTAAGTGTCTACACGGCACTTAATTTGAAATAGCTATTTCGAATTTGGCGTTTGTCCTCATAGAATGAGGTTTACCAAATTCGAATTAAGCGCGCCGCTATTTTGAATTAATTTCGAAATAGCGGTTTGCATGTATGAACACTATTAAAGTTAATTCGAAATAACAACTGTTATTTTGAATCAACTTTGCAGTGTAGACATACCCTTAGTGATTTTAGCTCTGATCAGAAACACAGTCCTGCCCCAAGTGATTTCAACTCCAACGGAGTATTTAAAAATAAAAAAATAGGCTTCTGATGAAGTGCTATTCATGGAACAGTGGAGAGAAACAGATTGAATCAGTCATGCAACAGATCATTGAAGACTCTCAGGATATGTCTACACTAGCCCTCTAGTTTGAACTGGGGTGGCTAATGTAGGCATTCGAACTTGCAAATAAAGCCCGGGATTTAAAATCCTGGGCTTCATTTGCATGTTCCCGGGCGGGCGCCATTTTAAAACCCCTTAGTTTGAACTGACTGCCTGCAGCTACACGCGGCACTCAGAAAAGTTAATCCAAACTAAATCCTTAGTTCAGATTAACTATTACACCTCATTGCAGGAGGAGTAACAGTTAATCCAAACTAAGGATTTAATTCGGATTAACTTCTGACTGCCGCGTGTAGCTGCAGGCAGTCAGTTTGAACTAAGGGGATTTAAAAATGGTGCCCGCCCGGGAACATGCAAATGAAGCCCAGAATATTTAAATCCCGGGCTTCATTTGCAAGTTCGAATGCCTACATTAGCCACCCGAGTTCAAACTAGGGGGCTAGTGTAGACATACCCTCAGAGTGCTGCTTGGGGGTCATGCCCTCCCCTCTTACCCTCACAGAACTCTGACATTTGAGGCTCTCTCCATCTGAGGTTGTTTAAAATGACAGTGTCTCCCCCTTTTGGCACAGGTTAAGCAAAGTCTTTCTTTTCTGTGCAAGGATTGGTGACCATATTTCACAATTCTTGCAACTAAATGTATGACCCAACACCAGCCAATTTGATTACAATGACCAAAACACCACTACATCCACTGAATATCTAGCAAATCTAAGCATGACAGAAACCACTGTATTTACATAAACCCCCTGAGTCTTTCCTCTCTTCCCAGCTAGCTGGCAGGGAAGCATTCATTCAGACCTTGCTTATAAGAGGAATGTCTGCCAAGAATGCCAGCTTTTTATCACAGTATAGAATTGAAATAATACATTTAAAGGTTTAATTTGTATAGACAATGATCTTCCTTTTCATAAATATAGACATGTGGCTAAAATCTAGAAGCAATTCCAGGCGGACAGAAGAATAAACCAAAATCCCCCAAAAGACTTTGATCCTTTCTAAAGATTTAATAGGGAATGGACATTATTACTTGGGCTGTCATCCACAAGTTCTTCATCATGATGAAGGGAGACAGGCAGCTAACTAAACTGTTACTCAAATTCAAGGAATACTCACCTACTGAAAGGCAGAATACGGCTTTTATTCAGCAAAGCATGTAGGTGCTTAAAGTGAGCATTCAAGTGCTGTACTGAATGGGGATTGACTGCTAAATTGTGGCCTTAATTTTGTGTTACCTTGAATAGAAAAGATTTTTTCCAGACGAAATGCTTTTAGCAATCTGAATAGAGATGGAAATAACATTTGAAAAGTTAATTACTTGGTTATCAAATTATTTGGTATGATGGAAAATAACATTTATACTAGTCAGTGTAATAGGGACATTGTCAAGTTTAAAATACCTTTACATTTAAATACCTGTCTGAAATTGTTTGGCTAATATTACAAGTAACATAAAAATTACTGTAATTTAGGGAATAAGAAAAATGAGCTATTTTCTATTTGTGTACAGGCAGTCCCTGGGTTACGTACAAGATAGGGACTGTAGGTTAGTACTTAAGTCGAATTTGTACTTAAGTTGGAACTAGCATCCAGATTCAGCCGCTGCTGAAACTGACCAGCGGCTGACTACAGGAAGCCCAAGGCAGAGTTTCTCTGCCCCGGGCTTCCTGGAATCAGCTGCTGATCAGTTTCAACAGCGGCTGAATCTGGACGC